AAAAAGTAGAATTAAATGTACAATTTGCAGCTTTATTTTTGGTTACAAACCGATAGTGTTTGTTGGGATGACTACAAAAATTTTATGGATACTCATAACGCTGCAAAAGATGGACCACTGATACAGTTTTTAAACGGGCTTGACTTTTGTTACATTAGACTGGAACTGCGGCGTAAGGGTTACGATAAAATTCACGCACTTCAGTTCCAACTAACATTCGCTCGAGCTGCTTATGCTGTGGTAAAAGTGGCTTCTCTGTAAAATAACTGTAAATTATAAGCATAGCTGAGGTAAAAATACTGTTTCAAGTGGAAAATTGTATTTTTATTCAAACACAAACTACAGTTCAAATAAATACTTATGATAGGCAGAGCACTGCCTTCAAAAAAAAACATTTTAGTCGGAGAATTCAGTGCAGTATTTTGTAATTTTTTTTCGTATTTTATGTAAATTGTAGGTGTTATTTGTATTAATTTTTTCTGCTTGAAATATTATTTTTATGCTGATGACGTTTACAATTTTTTGTTCTTCTGTAGTATTTGTAGTTAGTTAAATTACTGCATCACAACTTTTGATAAAAAAAACAAAGGTTAACAGTTTTTTTATTATGTTTTTGCAGCTAAAGACTTTTTGTTTGCAGTTTGGTGTTTTGACACAGCTTTTAAAAAATTTACATTTTGAAATACATTCAAACTGGCTTTTTTCTTTGAATCTTATCTAAGCAGCTTATCAGTTTTAACATTAAACTTTTTTGAACAGATATGCGATCAAAAGAGGTATCTTTCGGGAACAAAAAACAACGTAGCCAGGCAATACAGTCATCTGTTTAGGATACTTTACGAGAAGGATAACCCAGACAGACGGTAAATTTTTAAATAATATGTAAGCAGTTTAAACAGTTGTTAGACTGCTGCTTCTAAAAACGAGTAGTATTATGACAACAATGTTATTTAGAAGACAATCCTAAATGATTGAATTTTTTTCCATCTTCTCAGTTCGGCAAAATTGGCTGCTATATTTATTGTAAGCAACCAATTAGTATTTCTGTCAATCAATAACAGCTGTTTGGTTCCAGCCAAATTCTTAAATTACAGGCGAATATGTGACAAACTAATCATGTTGTACAAAGAAGTCTTCCAACGATGTCAAGTGCTTGATGCTGTATCAAGGAAAAATAGACTCAGAATTGTTGAAGAAGTACCATTCCTAATGTATCATTCTGTGACTATAAAAGAAAAGAATTTTAAAACATTTAAAAGTTTCTTTTCTGTACTATTGTAATATTTCAAAAGAAAAACATACACTTTCTTTATAAATGTTGCAAGTAAGAACTTAAGTGGTTAGATGACGACGATACTTCAACTTTAGTACTGTATTGGCCAACACCGAAATGGGATTATCAACACGCTAACTTTATTCAGACGTTTTGCATTTAGCTGCAATTCTATACCTAAATTTTTTGCTAGAAATCCGAATGCAGAGAAGAATCTAAGTGAAGCCTTAATCAACGACATTGCATTCATGAATACACTGCGGTAAAAATGACTGTTTGTAATTCAAACATAATTTTTTATTAAATTTAAGTTTCGACAGAAAATTTTAGGGTAGACAGGTATAAAATAAAATATCCGGATATCTACAATTCTTCTTTCTATCTTTTGAAATATTTTTACATATTTCAAATTTTACTTGCTATCAAAAATTACAGAGGTCGACTGGAAAACTCAATGAATGCTGAGAGCAAACTGCCTCAGATAACTATAGAAACTCGACTAGCGCTTCAACATTATGGTATTACAGCGGTAAAGCTACAGAAACAACTAAACCCATATTTGAAGTAACTTTTACTGGTTAAATCCAAATAATATCGTAGCAAACAAGTTTGGGTCACAATTCATAATGCTACTAAATGTTAATTTTACAAAAACTTACTTTTAGCGTAATAATATATTATAGCATCAGTAAAGATTGAAAAATTGCTATTAATGATGTGTTAACAGGCTTTTAGAACACGAAATGTTCGCTATATTTTAGTCAGCTACGGTGTATTGGCAACACGGCAAACTATCAATTGGAAGGATTCTATAGACGCGTTGAGCATATCGAAGTACATACAAATGGGTCTGCCATTAGTGCTCCAAAAGAAAATACTGATGTTACCGATTCAGGTGTAACAGAGGATACAAATGATAGTCCAGAAAATCTTGACAGTGAAGAAGCAGATGAAGTCAGTGATGAGGATGTTCTAGAACAGCAGCACTGCGAACAAATGCAAAATGTTGTAGCATATAAGTTTGTTTTTTCTCAAATTGCTTTTATAAAGGCTTCTAAAAATCCCAAAAAGCAGTACTTTGCTATTACAAATCATTTTTTATCTTTTGAAGTCATAAGTCTGATCCTTTGATCAATTATTTTTTAATCTCAACCGTATAAATGTAATTTTCAGGCAAGTTTTTGAGTGGTCACACATTGGCGTAAGAGTCAAGTATTTTTTAACGTTTCTGATATCTTTAATAACGATGGCGTTAACTTTATTACTATTAAAAACTTGGAAACATTTGTCGACAGCAACAGTGCTTTTTGTATTCAACATACTTTTTTCTAATTTGCTGTTTATTATGTCTTTCCTGTGTCTTTTTGCTGACCTGTTTGTCGAAGAGAAGTACAAGAAAGTCGTGGAAAAGGTAGATTTGATGAAGAAAATTAGCAGTAATTCTTTATTTGCAATAAAATTTCTAAATTTTAAATATTTTCTGATTTTCAAGTTTGTTGTCTTCAAACTTAGATCAAACTTTATTCTTTATTGATCCCAGCAAAAAGAAATAGCGATTTTCAAAAAACTGAATAAAGAAAGATAGCACTAAATAATGATATCACCCCCTTTCAGGTACTAATGGGTGGACCAGACCCGGCATTAGCGATCGCTGAGTCAATGAATACACATTTGTTTGCCAAGAATCAATTTATAAAACATCTTTTGCAAGAATCGCTTTATTCCTTGGCGCAAAATGGTTCATTACTTGGACTGATAAATTTGCTTGTTTTAGTTTTGGTACGACTTATTTAATTCCGTAAAAGAAGCTATACTTTTTAGAGCATGTTAATGACAGGTATGACGAATTTGTAGTGAATGAGTTAAATTATATGTGTTCGCTTTAAACTTCAGGTGGTTATACGACGTTCGATGATTGGCAAACCAATACATTTGTCGAAACGTTGTGTGGTTATCGTCTTTGGTTTATTTTGGCTTTTTCTTTTTTCGTCTCATATTGCGTTCTCATTGTTACAATTAACAGCAATAACCAATATCGACGAAATTTTCCAGTGGATTGAAGATACAGATATATGGACTTGTCAAAGGTGAACTACATATGAAATGGTTCTTTAGTAATTAAACTAGTAATACTTTTAACTTCTCAAGTTTACAGCCGTTCTTGAAGTGTCATTGGAAAGTTTCTTGTTACCAAGTTTTTTACTCTTATTTCATTGATTACCTCAACACAGAAGCTATACTGCTCATTTGTTATCAAAGACGCTTTCCCTGACAACTTCATTTATTAGCAGTGGTCTAAAATTTTTTCTTCTAGGGAAAGTATCAATGATAGAAAAAAAGAGAAACTTTATTACAAAAAGAAAAAAGAAAAAACACTTTCGAATAAAAGCTATTTGAAAGTTGTTTATTAAATGGTAAACTTCTTTTATGGTATTTTTCTCACTTTTTCACTCAAAAATGAAGGTGGATTGAACAGTAGTACTCCAACTGCTTGTTTTGCTTTGTGCAGTTTCCAAGAAATTTGAGGCTATTATAACGAATATTTAGTCTTGAAAATCCGGTTTCAAGTTACGAGGATATTGGCAGCAAATGCGACAACGTTGCACCGTTTTATACATTTGGAGCGTATTTGTTACGTGGGCACACAATTTTTACGTTAACTTTACTTGGTATTTCCTTGGCAATCTTCCTAATTACACTCTGCTGTCACTCGACTATTCGTAAGCAACAGGAACTTATTGACAACAACGGACTACGGTAAATTAAAGAACATTCTTGAAAGCTTTTAAAGAAAAGTTGAAATTTTTAAGTTTCATTTGTACATTCTAGGCGTCATAGCATGGCGTAATAAACTGAGCACACCAAAATACCAAGCTGTTAGCCAAATGTGCAATTGTGTAATTTTAACTTGTTATAGTGATCAAGCACCACATAAAAGACGCGAATTACTATTTAACACCTTAATTCTTTCGATAACAGTTTATTTTGTCTCTGTTTTGGGGCAGTCTTTTATCGAGCTTGCTGTTCTATGGTTAAGAGATCGAGAAAGGGTTGCCCGATTGGCTTTGTGGTATCAAGTAGCGCAAATTGCTGCTTTTGCCGACCCACTGTTAAATCCCATTCTCGTCACACTTAGAACACCACTTTTACAGAGAAAGGTATCCGACTTGTAACCAAAGATTTAAAAATTTGAATTTTTATGCAGCCTTTCAAATCGTATTAAACTGAAAAGCTTCCAGTTGAAACATTATATTAATTACTGGATTGCAACGACGCTACTTATTTGTTGTCCTTGGAGAAAGCAAACGCATAAGAAGAATCGTGGGGTTAAGAGGAGTCTTTCAGCAACAGCAAATGCCGACTCGTCAGTAAGTCAACGGACTGTGCCTTCAGAAGACTTTACACTTAAGGTATTGGTATTTTTTGCAAATGAAGTGTAAAAAACAATTTTCCACTTAAAAAGCTTGAGTTTTTAAGAAAACTAAAAGATGGGCCACTTTTTCCTTGAAAAAATGATAAACGTCAGCACCATAACCAACTTCACAGACCATTATTTCAGGGGTTACATATATCCAGCCAGATAGCTACTGTATATTAAATATACTGACAATCAAAAAACAAATAATTAACGAATTTCAGTTATTATGTACAAAACACATTGTGCGTTCCGCGTCTGCAAGGGCAAGATCAAGCACGTCTCAGCTTCATAATTCTGTGGTTTAACTATAGCTTTCTGTCCAACACTTGAAAGACGTAGCCGAGTGTACACTCACCATGCACTTTTTTTAACGGACTAAAGCAGAAAAAGGAGAAAATCTCAATCACCAGAAAATTTGTAGTTATATATGAATCTTTAACGATTACTTATTGTTTGTCAAAGTAAGTCAGGTGTGTATTTGAAAACTGCGAAAACTGTGTAAACCAAAAAAAGTTTTTATTTGAATAAAGCTGTTTGAAATGTGCGCTTGAGAGTTGTAAGTGAGGATAACTGTTTATTGATTAACGACTTTGTTCTTTTAGCTTCAGAGTGTAAGAAACTAACATTTTAACAGAAGATAAAGAACGAAGAAAATTACTGAAATTCTTTAGTGGCTGAAACCATTGTGATCAGCTAATTTAAGCAGTGCTTCTTAGCCTTTTTTTCGTTTGTAACATCAAGGTGAGACTTAAACATATTAGTTGAAGAAGAAATGACAAAGCAACTGAGTGATACATTCCAAATTTTTGCAGTCACGTGGAAAATAAGGTCCTTTACAATCCCACTGTTTTCCTTCTATCACGGCTAACTAAAAAGTCTTCTAAAAATGAAGAACAACTGTTGTGGATGACCTTCTACTTTGCTTTATTGAGTTATTGTTTCTCTTAATTGACTTTACTGTGGGAACAATTAATCTCTACGTTTCACAATGCCAACTTAAAGCTCTTTATACTGATCTTTAGATCTCAAACCTCAAAGTCTTCTATCTACAAAAAAGGATCTCAAACTAACAGTTGACTTATCGTTCAATCTAAGTCCCAGGTGCTACAATTTCGACTGCTGACCAATGCTTGATAAAAGATTTATATTAAATTAATTACTTTATTTACCGAAAAATTATTAACAACTATGAGGTCCCTACGAATTAATAAAAAAAGGAATACAAAATTAAAGTGGATAGCGAAACGTTGTAAGATAACGAAAGAAGAGAACCTACAACTCAAAGCACCTCAAGCAGAATTAGAATTCTGTAAATAAAGCTGCCCAGCTGGTATAATTGAAGCTATGCTCAACAAACTGATTAACAAGACGTTGAAGGTAAGAAAATGAAATATGTCGCATTAAAGAAGTAATCAATACAAGTAGGGAAGTGTTAATTCAATTACCAATAATAATAATAATTTAAAATCGTAATAGATCTTCTTTTTATGACCTTTGTCCGTTGATCTTCTGTCTGGTCAAATCTGCTGCTTCTCCCAAAGCTTCCTCCTGGGGAGCATACCGTGACATTAGACTAGACCCTAAGGCCAATTCTGATGCTCCAACAAAGCTTCCTTTCAGGGAGCCTGCAGTGTGCTAAAGGTAATTGCCTCTGGCTTTCGCGCATGGTCGCGGCACCTTTCAGTTTAAAAGTAGTTTCCCCTCATTTTTCACTTCTTTAAGTACCGAAAGAGAACAATTCACTTTTTCCTCGAAGTCATCGTGAAGTAAGCACAACAGAGGGGGAGTTATCTTTAAAATTCTAGTATAAATTTACCCAAAGATTTTCCTCAGCAAAATATCTTCCCTCAAAAGATAACATCGCCGACTTAGCCGCCAAAGGCTGTACATTGCAAGAATTAGCACGAAACCAGAAATGGTGGGAAGATGGCTGAATGAATCAGACAGAAAATTATTGGCCGGATGAATTACAGCATATAGAAGTAGTAGAGTAAATTAAGTAATTTAAATTAAATTTATAAATTAAGAACGTCAAGAAGAGGTGTCACATTCCACCATAAAGAACTTAGTTGCATTGAGGTCAGTGATTATTCTAGTTGTTTAAACTTTTACGAGTAGTTGTATACATTTTACAATTTTCGAAAAGAAAAGTCTGGTTAAAATTGTCAAAAATTCAAAAGAATAGGTATACGGTGTTGCCATCGATTTTTACTAATAATCAAGAAACTAGTTTTATAAGTGCTAAGGAACAACAGGCGGCCGAATATCTTTTAGTCAGAACAAAACAAGAAATTATATTTGGCAAACAATTTATGGCCATTGCAAAAGGTTTAAAGGACAAGTTTAAAGACAAATTGGGACTCTATGAGGAGAATGGAATACTTAAGTGTGCCGGACGATACAAAATTTTACCAATTAAGGAAGATGTAAAATATCCTGTCCTATTGGGCATCATGGTCAGCTAGCACGATTAGTTAGAATGGAAGCTCGTCTACAAGTATTGCACATGGGTTTGCAAACGACATTAATCAAAGTACGACAAAAGTGGTGGATCACAAAGGGACGAGCCACCATAAAGAAGTATTTACATCGATGTTTAGTTTGTAAAATATATCAAGGTAAACCTTATACTCCTCCTCCTATGCCTCCGTTACCTACGTCTGAAGGTAAAATGTGTAAACCCTTTGAAGTAACAGGTCTGGACTATTTTGGTCCACTCTCAGTCAAATGTGAAGATAATGAGAATTTAACTATTAAACGATGGGTATTTCTACTCGTTTAGTTACTCGTAATATACACAAGTGGTTCATGACATAACCACTACAAGTTTTTTAACTTGTTTTAGGAGGTTTATAACAACGAGAGGATCGCCTAAGATGATATACTCCTATAATGCAACACAATTTCGAGCTGCAAAAAGACACCAAGTCAATTTTGGAACAAGTTAATTATTGATCCTCAAGTATGTACTTATTATGCCAATAAAGGTATTATTTGGAATTTCATTACCGAGTATGCGCCTTGGTAAGGCGGCTACTATGAAAGGCTAATTGGTGTCGTCAAACTGATTTT